AAATGGGTTCAGGAAACAAGTTACAGAGGCAAAAGAAGGGCCCTTGGCCCTGGCTGGTTTGGTTCGATTTGGCTCAGTGGTTAGAGCATCAGCCCTCAGACCGAAGGGTCATGTGTTTGATTCCCAATCAAGGGCACATTCCTGGGTCGCAGGTTCGATCCCCGGCCTCAGTTGGGGTTGTGTGGGAGGCATCAAATCGATGTGTCTCTCTCGCATCAATGTTTCTCTCTCTTTCTCTCTCCCTCCCTCACTTCTATTCTATCTGAAAAAAAAAAGAAAAGAAAAATATTCTTGGGTGAGGATTAACAAAATAAAAGAAGGACCTTAGTGCTTAGGAAAAAGAGAGAAAGATAAAGATAACACACCTGGGGTAAGAAAAAGGGAATGGTAATGTGCAGGCATGTTCCAAGAGGGACAGCATTTGGTGGGATTTTCTAAAGCCTGGAGAAGAATATTCACCCTCCTGTGTCAAATTCAAATTTAACTTTAAAAAAAATCAACTCTGACTAACATTCACTGAGAACTACTGTGGACTAAAACAGAAGGTTTCTAGTATCTTATTTTTAAGGGTAAAAAGGGAACTGAAGGGTTGAGGGACAAGCTTTACTTACATCCAGATCATCCATGGCAGGGGGAGGTCTCTTGGTGCTGACCTTCTTCAAAAGCTACAGGGACAAGAAAAATAGTTGCAAGAGAGAAGAGCAACCAGCATACTGATGGACCAAAGGAGAATGGTCCCAACCAGACAACTTCCCTACCTTTAAAGCCCCTAACACATTAGTGGAATGAATTAGAGAAAAGTAAATTGATCCCCTTCTTAAAAGGAAATTAAAAACACACAGAGCATCCTTCTTACCAGTCCAGGTCAGGGTCTGCTAGTGTTTTTGCAACGTGAATAATTAGTACTGAAATTCTGAAACCAAATAATTTATTGGGAAATATTGATTTTTTTAATGTGAATTTTATACTGCTTAGTTGGAGCTTTCCATGAAGTTGTCTGGCTCAAGAAAATACACACACAAAAAGAAAGAGCCCTGTCTGATGTGGCTCAGTTGATTGAGGATGACCCCATGCACTGAGAGGTTGCCAGTTCAATTCCCAGTCAGGGCACATGACCAAGGTTGCAGGCTTGATCCCCAGTAGGGGGCGTGCAGGACGCAGCTGATTAATGTTTCTCTCTCATCAATGTTTCTATCTCTACCTCCCCTTTCCTCTCTCTCTAAAAAAAATTTAATAAAAAATATTAAAAAAAGAAAAAGCAGAGAAGGAAAGGAAGGAGGGAGGGAGGGGAAGAGAAGAGAACAGAAATTACATAAAAGCAAGAAAAGCTTTTGCCAAACTTTTTCAGAATGCAGGCTCTATTCTATGAATAGTGAGTGAATCCATGTATACAATTTCACTAATAGAATATTCATTTCACCCATCCCTACTAAATAAACATTGCAAAATATATGTAAAGAATATCAGCACCACCCTGGCCAGTTTGGCTCAGTGGTCAGCCCATGGGCCAGAGAGTCCCAGGTTCGGTTCCCACTAAGGGCATGTATCTTGGTTGCAGTTTGTCCCCGGTCCCAGTTGGAGTTGTGTAGGTGGCAACCAGTCGATATGTCTCTCTCACATCGATGTTTGTCTCTCTGTCTTCCCCACCTCTCTCCCTCCAGCTCTATGTGAAGATAAATGCAAAAATGTCCACAGGTGCCCCTGGCCAGTTTGGCTCAGTGGTTAGAGCATGGGCCTGCGGTCCAGAGAGACCCGGGTTCGGTTCCCACTAAGGGTACATACCGCAGTTGCATTTTGTCCCCAGCCCCTGGTTGGGTCGTGCTGGTGGCAACCACTCGATGTGACCCTTTCACGTTGATGTTTCTCTCTCTCTCTCTCTCCCTTCCACTCTATCTGAACAAAAAATGGAAAAATGTCCTCAGGTGATGATTAAAAAAAAATGTCCTTGGGTAAGGGGAAACAAAGAATATCAGCACCAATGAGCAGCAATTCTAAGGAGCTCATATGTCTCTAGACTTAGCCCTGATGACAATCCTCCAGAGAAATGTGTGCAGAGATACAGAGAATGGTCAACATGGGCAGAAAATGGCATTACCTCTGCATAATGTTCCACCTGAGCCAGCTCCACCTCTTCATCCCCTTCCCAGTCTCTCCAGTTATCAAAGTCCACAGACAACCACACTGGCTGTAAGAGGAAGCACAAAGAATCACAGCCAGGGCGGTAGCAGAAGTGCATAGAAAAGTGTGGTTGTGTACATAGGAGCATGCGAGGAAGGCCAATGGGAGTAGTCTTCCCAACAGCACCCCTTTGACTAACTAACCCCATCTCCTAACTACTATGTTATAGAGACTATTAAACACAATGCCAGGATTTGTAGAGGATGAAAAAGCATAGAAAGACTGCCCTCAAAGAGCAGATTGACTGGAAAGATAACACATATGGAAATATAACTGTGTCATAAAGTATCATAGATTCCACCAAGCAAGACAGGGACAACCCTTCAAGGCCCATGTTCCAAGTTGCCACACTTAGAGAAAGAAGTTATTCACTAGTTCATTTAACAGATATTTACTGAACTGATATTATGGATCACACTCTGAGATTAACATTGGGATTATAAATATGTTTCATACATAGTTCCAGCCATCAAGAAGCAAATAGGGAAGGGAAATGTAAATAAGTTGTTATAATACAGTGTGAAGAGAGTGGTAGTAGGCTATGTAGGGGATATTTTGGGAACCTAGGCATCCTGGAGTCACATGGCCTTGAAGGATGAACAGGGGTTAGGTGGGAGAAAGTGATAGTGATGGGGGCTTTCCAGGAAGAAGGCACAGCTTGAGCAAAGGTACAAAATTGAGAAATTGCCTGGTGTGTGCAAAATCATTGCAAGCAGTTTGCTGGGGCTGGAATGTGAAGTTTGAGGCAGAGAGTAATGGAATATAAGGCTGTAGGAAGAAGAAAAGCCAGGTCATGATCTTATATATCATGTTATAGTGTTTGGACATCAACCTAAGGGGAAGAAGTTATGAGCTCAAATACCTGAAACCATCAAGAAGATAATGAAAAGAAGTAAAGTGAGGTGGAACACATGCCTTATTTAATGCTGTAACTCAAAGCATCTGGGAATTTTAGACCAGTGTGACCAAAATCTCCATTTTTTTTTCCCTTTGAGGGAAGCTAGTAACCTGGATTTGTAGGTGAAATTTCCACATCTTCATATGTCAGTAACTAATTAAAAATTCCAAATATCAGTAACCAATAGAAATAATTTTTAACACTGTGAACACTGCTAAAATAAATTTGAGAGCCAGATCAAACCAGCAGGCAGCCAATTTGCAACCTTTAGGAGAAAAGAAGCTACTGGAGGGTCTTAAGTAGGGGAGTGACAGGGTCAAAGATGTATTTTAGACAGATCATAATAGGAGCGATGCATTAGACAGATTGGGGGTGGAGCTGAAAATACACCACGAATCTCACCCATTGATGAATAAGGTCTGAATTAGGAAGAGATAAAGTAACAGATTCAATACCATCCAGGTAGTCAAATAGGCAGAACCTGGTAAGTGACTGAATGTTGGTGGGAAAAGGCGCAAGGGTGATTTCCCGACCTAACTTGGGTACCTGAATACACCATAGAGAACACAGGAGAAAGAGCAAGCCCCTCCCTACCTTGATATCCTCCTTGGTGAGCCGGGGCCAGGCTACTTTCTCCTTCCATTTCCTCACAAAGCAAGTAATGGAGCGGCCAGAGCGCTTATCCTGGGAGTCCTGCCACACACAGAGCCTCATTCTTACAGTCTGGGGATTAGAATGAATCTCCCATTTCCCAGGCAGCCTTCCCATCGAAACCTTCCTGTCCCACTCCATCCCTACCTTGGAGTTCACCTTGGCATAGAACTCAATCTCATTGTACAACTCCACTCCATCGGCATTCTTGCAGCTAAGGAGACAATGCAGCTGAGGAGACTGAGAGGCTGAGTGTGGGGACTTTAGGAGAAAGGAAAGGTTCCGAGAAGCCGGGCTCTACAAAGAGGCCATTACCTGAACACAATGCGGTGGTCTTCTATGAGCACCTGGACATCGGTGCTGTCCTCAACACAAAACTCCATGAACACATACTTGGGCCTGTCATACCACAGGGTCCGGGCATGCTGCCTGAAGAGGAGTTAAGGTGGGGCTTCATAGAGGTGGGAGGGGGAAGACTGAGAGCATTTGGGAAAGATGGGAGGAGAGGAGAATATAGGAATATTTCATGCTACAGCCTTGTCAAAATGGAGCAGAAACAGAAGGACGTGGAATTGGAGTGATGAGAATGGGTGTAGGGAGTTATGGAGGCCACTGAGGTCACACTGCCCCGCACCACCCCACAGTTACAGAGACCTGGGGTCTGCAGTTCCCATGGGATCTCGCAGGACCTGGAGCGCCCAGGAAATGTGGGGCGCGGAATCTAAAGGGAGAAAGGCGGCCCGAAACGCTCACCGTGCCATGGCGGCTCCCGCAGCCCGGTGGCGTTCGGAGTCCGAGGCAGGGACCGCTATCTTTAGATCCCAGTGACGCCCCCAGCAGCTGCCTCTCCTTACATGGTCAGTGGAAGTTTTAGAGGCCGGAGAAACTTGGCCCTGCAAACAAGAGAGCAGCACCCCGGAGAGACTGTGGGAAAGCATAATCCCAGCAGCCCGTCACCTCTCCGGGTCTCCAGATATGTACAGATTTAGGAAGAGACGACCCACCCTCTGGGCCAGGGCTACACTACACTAGATACACACGAATGACTTGTCCCCGGCTTCATTCACCTGTTTGTCCAACGCTTAGGACATTCTGTGCCTGATTCACAATAGGCGCTCAATAAAAAATTACTGGCCCACATTAAATCCCCGGGGAAGGCCCGCCCTCGGGGACGAACGAGCCCAGCCCACCCGCTTCTAAGGTTTCCCCGCCCGGCCGCCGTTGCCATGGTAGCAAGGGGGCGCCGCTGACGTGCGGCGGCGTTTCCGGGAAGATGGCGTCTGTCGAAGTAGCTGCCGAACCAGTAACGGTGGTGGCGACCGTTGGACCAAAGGCGAGGGACGAAGAGGAGGAAGAGGAGGAGTCACTGCCACCGTGCGGGGCGGTGCGCTGGGCCCCGGTGGGGGCAGTGGCAGAGGCCGGGCCTGGGGCGACAGCGTTCTCGGAAGAGGCGGCTGCGGAGGAACCCGGCGCAGCCCCAGGCTCCCCGCCCGACTCGCCCGGCCGGACACTGCGACGGCTGCGGGCTGAGCGACGGCGGCTGGACTCGGCGCTGCTCGCGCTGTCCTCGCACTTTGCACAGGTGCAGTTCCGCCTGCGCCAGGTGGTGCGCGGGGCGCCGGCGGAGCAGCAGCGCCTCCTGCGCGAGCTCGAGGACTTTGCCTTCCGCGGCTGCCCTCACGTCCTGGGTTACGGTGAGCCCGAGGACCCCGCCTGCGAAGACAGCGACGGGTTGCCGGGGGACCGGCCACGGTTGCGAGGCGAGGACCAGGTAGGCAGCTGGGGCCGGGCCCCGAGGAACATGAGGATAGGAGGGGTTGGGTGGGTGGCGATGTGACAAGGACGGGAGGTAGCAGTGGTGAGAAGCCGACCTGTCCAGGTGAGTACGCGAGCCCGAGACGCGAAGATTGAGACAGGTGTTCGAGGCCTGCTGAAGGGCTGGAGGAAAGAGAGGCCTGGGAACCTGTGGTGAGAGGTGCCCACCGAAGTGACGACGTGAAGGACAGACGAGCTTTGAGCAAAGAGTATTCAGAGGGCAACAGAGCAACCAGCCAAAGCAGTGTTCTTCCTCTCACCTTGCTATCACCTTATGTAGTACCTAAGTCCTCGCACATTTGCTGATAGAGTGCCCCGACCCTGGGGATTGAGATAGTTGGCTGGTGAAGAGCAAGTGAATTGAAAATCATGGAAAATTAGACCTACTCTGTCTGTGCTTTCTTGGAATCTACAGAATCTTTAATCTTTAGACTTGTCTGAGTGAGAGCTTTGGTGGACAGCAGGGTATCTTAGTAATTAAAAGAAACACAACTGATTACATGAATTTATTTTTTAACTTCACTGATTTTTAGAGAAAGAGGAAGTGAGAGGGAGAGAGTGATAGAAACATCGATGAGAGAGAACATCAGTTGGCTGCCTCCTGCATGCGCTCAACTGGGGATATGGCCCACGACCTGGGCATGTGCCCTGATCTGATATGGAACCGGCGAACCCTTGGTGCATGGGTCCACGCTCAACCACTGAGCCACACCGGCCAGGCATTACATGAATTTTTTAATACTGGTACTTTAAAACTCCTTCCTCACACACACAAAAAAAATTATTTAAAAAAAAAGCTCTGGCTTATTTTTCTCAGTGGTTGGAACATTGGCCTGCGGACCAGAGAGTCCCTGGTTTGATTTCCACTAGGGGCATGTACCAAAAAAAAAAAATTTTGTAAAACTCCTTCTCATCCTGCTTAATAACTAAGTATTCTAAATGAAGTTCCTTTGGTAACTGACAAGATTCATTCAATTAGCGTACCTCAAGAAGATATAAGAGACTGTATACCACACCAAGGGAACGTTTCCTTAGTCTTTGAATCTCTGGAAGTGCACAGTTGTAGATAGGTGTTGAATTGAACCCAGGTCTCATTGGTCTGCCAGCCAACGCTCTAACCACTGAGCCAAACCGGCCAGGTCTCCTTCTTTCTTTCTTTTTTTTTAATCTTCACCCGAGGATATTTTTCTATTTTATCTTCAGATAGAGTGAGAGGGAGGGAGGGAGGGAGGAAGGAGAGAGAGAAAGAGATCAATGTGAGAGGGACACATTGACCCCCAACCAGGGCCTTGAACGAACTGAAATCAATGGGAATTGAACCCATGACTCTTTAGTCCTCAGGCCAACACTCAACCGCTGAGCTACGCCAGCTGGGCCAGGGCCACCTTTTTATCCTTAAAGTTACAACCCACATGTGGCTTTCTTCCTGCTTAAATTAGTTTTAACCAGAATTCTTATCAGTAACAGATATTGAATTATTTTAATCTAAAGTGTTTCCAGTGCAGTCCTGTGTTTACTGTTCCACCCTTCTCTCCGCCTTCCCACAGCTCCTTGCACAGACAAGGAACAGCCACTTCAAATTGCCAGACTCTTCAAGGATATAAAGGGTAGAAAGAATCACTGTGGCCAGGCCCTGTTTATATATGAGGAACACCAAAGATTCTCTGGATTTGCTTTTTTGGTTGTTCAGTTTCACTTTCAGAAACAGAGTACAACTTTGAAAAAAAATGTAGTGCTCAAAAATACCTAATTAAAAAAAAGAATAATAAGCAGTCGTGTGTTTCTATTGACATATAAACAGGTAGTGCCCAAGTGGGGGATATGTGTGAACCAAATGATTTACTTCTTACCAGTTCCTGATTTTTTTAAACCAGTATTTTATCTCACTTCATACTAGAGATTATTCCTGTTATTTTCTGCCTTACACCAGAGCTCATTGTTCTAGCCTATTAAACTTGTTTGCTCATGTTCCAGTAAATATCATACTAGAACTGTTATGGCAAGTGACAAAGTTCAGCAGACATACTCATCAAAACGGAATCGATTTATAACTGGTTTCTTTCTTCCTTGGCTTCATAAAATTGGAGTACAATGAAAACACAAAGAAAGTTTACCCAGTTCTTGCTCCTTGAGCTAATTAGACAACTTCCTGTAGTCAGAATTCATTACATAGTTTCCGCTTATCTGAGGGGAATACTTTCAAAGATGCCCCGGTGGATGCCTGATACATTGCATAGTATTAAACATATATACTATGGTTTTTCCTATATATACATGCCTATGATAGAGTTGAATTAATAAATTAGACAATAAGAGATTAACAACTAATAATAAAATAGAACATTTATAACAATATAATGTAGTAAAAGTTACGTAAATGTCTTTGGGCTGTTAGTAAGTAAAATAAGAGTTACCTGAACACAAGCACTGCAGTACCTCAGCAGACAATTTGATAACCAAAACAGCTATCAAGTGACTAGTGGGTGGATAGTGGATTCAGCGTGGATACCTAGATACTCTGGACAAAGGGATCATTCAGGCTCAAGATTTCATAACACTGTTCAGAACGGTGCACAGTTTAAAACTTTCAAATTCCTTATTTCTGGAATTTTCTATTTAATATTTTTTTTTACCTCAGTTGACTGCAAGTAACTAAAACTATGGAAAGCAAAACGGTGGATAAGAGGGACTATTGTGTTTAGAATGTGTCGTTCTATACGTGCTTCAGTAGCATAAAACAAATACGTATTGAGAGCTTTGTGCTAGGCACTGTGTAAGGCCTTGAGGGTACAAAGTCAAGGCCCCTGCCTGTAAGTTCATAGACTGGGGAAGACAGAATCCTAAACAGATGTAACGTGACATGAGCTGGTGTGGAAGTGTGTAGAAAATACAGTGGAAGAAATGATCAGTTCTGCCTGGGGAAATCAAGGAAACCTCTTAAAGGATAGTTAGGCCTGCACTAAGACAGGAAGAAGAACAGGATTCCAAGAAAACACCACAACAGTCATAAAGGATTGAAGAGGGAGTATCATGAGAAAAGACTTGCTTTCTTGTTGAATAAAGGTAAAGCAAGAGCCTTGTTTGTTTGTTTTTATTCTCACCCGCAAACATTTTTCCTTTTTTTTTTTATCCTTACCCAAGGACATTTTTTGATATTTTGTTCAGATAGAGTGGGAGGGAGAGAGAGAGAGAGAGAGAGAGAGAAACATTGACGAGAAGGACATATTGAGTAGTTGCCACCCGCACAATCCAACCAAGGCCGGGACAAACTGCAACTGAGGTACATGCCCTGAGCGGGAACCGATCCTGGGTGTCTTGGGACCGTAGGCTGACGCTCTAACCACTGAGCCAAACTGGCCAGGGCCATTTTTCCTTTTTTTTTTGTTCAGATAGAGTCGGGGAGAGAGAAAGAAAGAAAAACATAGACATGAAAGGGACAATCGAGTGGCTGCCTCCCGCACGAGCCAACCAGGGCTGAGGAAAAACTGCAACCGAGGTATGTGCCCTTAGGGGAAACCAAACCCGGGTCTCTCTAGACCGCAGGCCAACGCTCCAACCGCTAAACCAAACCAGCCAGGGCATAGCAGACTTTTTTTTAAAAAAACACTAGGCCCTGGCCAGTTTGGCTCAGCCATTGGGGCCTTGGCCTGCGGACTACAGAGTCCCGGGTTCACTTCCTGCTAGGGGCACATACCAAAAAACAAAACAAAACACTAGTACCTTCCCACCCTCTTTACTTAGCTTTAAATTCTTTTTACTGCCCCTGATATCTGCGTTTATTCTTTTGATTTTACAGACCTCTATAATACATTGGAGAGGCTTTGAATCTTAAAAAAACAAACTGGGTATGAGTTGTAAGGCCTTTCTCCACATCTTTACCTCCAGATTCTCTGCAGAAAATATTCAGGAGATGATCTGTGGTAATTGCCATGGAGGATGGCATGGCTAAGTCCTGGGAGGCTAAAATAAATTGTCTCAATCCTAACTAGACCTTTGGGGGGGGGGAGCAATCTTAACAAAAGGCCCCATTCTTTTCATATCCTATTTTCAAAGAGATACAAATACTTTCTTAAAACACATTTAATAAATTTCCCTGTATAAAATAATTATTTTTTAATGTTTTTATTGATTTTAGAGAGAGGAAGGAAGAGGGAGCAAAACATATGTGTCAAAGAGAAATATCATTTTAGAGAGGAAGGGGGGAGGGGAAAGAAACATGGATCAGCTCCCTTCTGCACACCCCATACTGGGGATCGAGCCTGAAACCTGGGCATGTGCCCTGACAGGGAATCAAACCTGTGACCTTCTGGTGCATGGGACAATGCTCAATCAACTGAGCCATACCAGCCAGGGCAATTATTCTTATTTTTGAGCTACCTTATAAATTCCATATTTCATCTGGATTATTTGTAAATATTTTCTATTTTGCTAGTCATTGGCTTGGGAGGATTCTTGATGTGTCCTGAATTTTCCTTTTCCTGTGAAATAAACCTAAGTATTTTCTCATCTTAGAGTGAGCAGAAGAAACGGGAACGTCTAAAAACCCAAAGGGAGAAGCAGAAGGAACTAATACTGCAGCTCAAAACCCAACTAGATGATCTGGAAACATTTGCCTACCAAGAGGGCAGTTATGATTCCCTGCCCCAGTCCGTGGTCTTGGAAAGACAGCGGGTAAGTAAATACCACCACTGCTTAAGGTTACCTTGTTCATTCCTGTGTTTAGTCTTTCCTAGCTTGTTTGCCTTGGGCCTTACTGAGAATCCCTTTGCTGGGAAATTTTACTATTACATGGGCCAATATTTATTCACACATGCAAACACAAATTCCAAAGTTTTATAATATGATGATTGAGTTCTAGTTTTTTGTTGGTTGTTATTAAGAATAATTGTAGTCATATATAATAATAACTGTAATACTTTCTTTCATTTGATCATTAAAACAGTTCTACTTGAGCACATCGTAGTATGTAAACGAGCTTTATTTCCCACCACCAGTTGATAAATATGCCAGGAATCCACAGTGACTTGAATGCTATATTTATTTAAGCAACATCTGGGTAGACAGGTAAATCTTCTGGTAGAAATACAGCTACAACCTCCCCTACATGTTTGTCTCTCCCTGTGAGGTGGCTGTTTCTCTGGCTTGGCTGGAGTTATATTACCTAGATTTCATCCTAATATTGTCACTAGGATATTTTGACTGTAATGTACCCTGATGTTTTGTAAAGATTTTTCTTTAGTTGCCTAGAGTAGGACAAGAGGGGATAAGAAGAAATAGAAACTAGTATTTATTCTCTTGGAGACCTTGGGAAGCTATGTATGAGGGTTTTTTGGATCATCAGCCACTTTGGATTATTCGCACTGTTGGTCTCCTGAGTGAAAATTGCCAAGCCTGGTAGAACATTTGCAGTTAGAGGAGCCATTTCTGTCAGACAAGTACGAAAAGTTCTTGTTATCACAGAGAAGTAAAGGGTCTATCCTTAAATTGATCAGCAATTGCACCATTTCTCTCACGAATTTGATAGTTCTCCGTGTCTTTGATTTCTGTTTAAGGGTAGGAGGTATACTAGTAAAGATTCTCCTTCTTCCTAACCCTCTCTCTGAAAATTCCAAAGGGTGTGCTCACTGCTTGTCTTGATAGGTGATCATAGATGAATTAATAAAGAAACTGGATATGAATCTGAATGAGGACATCAGTTCACTGTCCACCGAAGAGCTTCGGCAACGTGTGGATGCAGCTGTGGCTCAGATTGTAAACCCAGCCCGAGTGAAAGAACAGTTGGTTGAGCAGCTAAAAACTCAGATCCGAGACCTCGAGATGTTCATCAACTTCATCCAAGGTCAGAGGAGAGTGGACAGATGTTGTGATAATTATATGTACTGATAAGTACTACTACCTAAAGGTACCAATCTCGATGTACTATTTCAGAGGTTTGATCACTTAGTAAAGGAGCCAGCAAGGTAGAGTAGAAAGAACATGCATCTATTTTAGAACCAGATTGCTAAAATCTCAGCTCTGCCATTTACTGGCTTCATGTCCTTGGGCAGGTTCCTGACCTCTTTAGTCTCACTCTCCTCACCAATAAAATGATTCACACTTCCTTCAATTAGCAAATATGTATTGAGCCAACAACTATATGCCAGTCACTGGTCTACACAAGTAAATAAGATATATTTGTAAGTCTTGTCATATAGTAAGCACTAGTAGATATTCTCCCTTTAAAAATCTGCCAGTGGCTCAGTGGTTGAGCATCCACCCACATACCAAGAGGTCTCCGGTTTGATTCCCAGTCAGGGCACATACCCAGGCTGTGGGCCAGATCCCCAGTGTGGGGCGTGCACGAGGCAGCCAATGGATGTTCTCTCTCATCGACGTTTCTGTCTCTCTTTCCCTCTCCCTTCCTCTCTCTCTAAAATAAATAAAGAAAAATTTTAAAAAAAATTTTTTTAAATCTGCCATCAAGGGGCTAAAGAAGTATCTTCTTTTTGTAACTTCTAATGATAGATGAAGTGGGAAGCCCATTTCAGACAGATAATGGACACTGTGAGTGCAAGGCCAGTGGGAAGACAGGAAATAGCTCCACCAGAACTGACAGCAGCAAATTGCCTCCAGGAAACAATAAACGTAAGTACAGCTCCCATATTAGGCAAATCTATAGAGACGGAAAGTAGCTTAGTGGTTGTCTAGGGCTTGGGAGGTTGGGAAGAAGGGTAATGGGAAATGCTGATCATACAGGGTTTATTTTGGGGATGATGAATATACAGTTCTGTGAATACACCAAAAACCACTGAATTGTACACTTTAAATTGGTGAATTGTATGGCATATGAAGTATATTTCAATATAGTTGTTATTAACAGCAACAAAAGAAACGAAAGTCCAGTGGCATCCTTAACCTAAAATAAGTCCAGTGACATCCTGGGTGGCTCTTGGCTTCGTTTGGAACCCATACATAGCTCAAAAGCAAGGCTCGATCTTAGCTTATGATTTGTTGAATGTAATTCTGTGCCATTATGGTCTAACTGATGAGTCACTGTGTTTTCTAAACAGCAAAGGCAGAAGATGTGAAGAAAGTTCGGGAGACGGGGCTGCGCCTGATGCGTCGAGCACTGGCAGTGCTCCAGATCTTTGCTGTTAGCCAGTTTGGTTGTGCCACAGGCCAGATCCCACAAACCCTGTGGCCAAGGGGCCAGGCTGACAGGGACTACTCTCCCTTACTGAAGAGGCTGGAGGTGTCAGTAGACAGAGTGAAGCAGCTAGCCTTAAGGCACCAGCCATACGACCACGTCATCACCTCTGCCAACCTCCAGGACCTCTCTCTGGGAAGCAAGGACGAGCTGACGACAGCTGTGCGAAAGGAGCTGACAGTGGCCGTGAGGGACCTGCTGGCCCATGGGTTGTATGCCTCCTCACCAGGGATGAGCCTTGTCATGGCTCCCATTGCTTGTTTGCTGCCAGCCTTCTCCTCGACCCCCGAGGCCATGCACCCCTGGGAACTCTTTGTAAAGTACTATCATGCTAAGAATGGCCGTGCTTATGTGGAATCCCCAGCCCGAAAGCTCTCCCAGTCCTTTGCCCTGCCTGTTATGGGAGGTACTGCTATGACCCCCAAGCAGAGTCTACTGACAGCCATCCATATGGTGCTGACGGAGCACGACCCTTTTAAGCGCAGTGCAGACTCAGAGTTGAAGGCCTTGGTGTGCATGGCACTGAATGAGCAGCGTCTTGTGTCCTGGGTGAATCTTATCTGCAAGTCTGGGTCACTCATCGAGTGCCACTATCAGCCCTGGAGCTACATGGTTCACACAGGCTTCGAGAGTGCCCTCAACCTGCTCAGTCGCCTTAGCAGCCTCAAGTTCAGCCTCCCTGTAGACCTGGCTGTGCGCCAGCTCAAGAACATCAAAGATGCTTTTTGATGAGAGTGCCCTGGCCCTACCCTGGCACCTTATTCAGTAAAGATAGATGGTTAGTCTTCTAAGATAGGGGCAGAGAGTAGGAGGAAGGATTAAAGATGTTTTCCCTAGCCAAATGACTGCAAAGTCTGTTTTCCCTGCCAGGTTGGCATCTCAGAAAGAAATTCTGGAGACCCTCTTATTTAAAAGTGTTTCCCTGGTGTGTAACTACAGTATACATGTCGCACATATATTTGAGCCTATGTAAAAAATTAGTTATGGCACACAGTTAATACACCAACTCTTCATGCCAGGTCTAATTTTTAGAAAACCCAGGATTCTCTAACCATTCTGTTTATGGTAGTGAGTTGTTGGTCCTAGAATACATTCAACTTGAGGCTCCTGTTGGTTAAGTTGGGGGCCAAGGTCAGGGGAAGCTGTGTTTATTCCATAGCTGCCTCTAAAATTAGGAATGGGAATATTCTGAGAATAGCATTTCTAAGGGAGTTAACCACAAGTTAAGTTTAATAAGAGCCCTTTTTCATATAGAGGTAAGAACTGAAGTCTGTTGCTGACAAAGTGGTCCTCTTAGAGCACAATGTTTTTTTGTTTTTGGAGAGGGTTGTTTACAAGGAGTGACAACCATCGTCTGGTACTAGGACACTGGAAAGGAACTTTTCCTCTGTGCACCTCCCAATGATATACTCAGACTTCTCAGAAGTAGATGTGTTAGAGGTATACTTCTCAAGAGAACCCTTGCCACTGAATCAGGTGTGGATAGAAAAACACATCGGTGACCAGCAGCAACTTCTTCCCGGACTGTGACTCCACTTGTCCTGGAGGCTGGATGATGGAAGAGGTCTGATCATGCGATAAGTACTACAGTGGGGGTGGGAACTATGGCAGATCGCTAGTGAGCACTTCATTGTAAAACTGATTCTAGAATGGTCCTGTTTGGTCTTTAGTATTTTAGCCTTTTTAGTTTGTATGTCATTCAACCTGCATACTACAGGACTGACCAAAGATGGGCTAAGTGTATCACTTTCTGGAAAACCAAATGGGCTCCCAACTCTACTGATTCAACATTGTTTCTTGTATTAAATTGGCATCTGCACTTTATGTCTGCACTATTGCATAGTGCATTTTAACTTAATTTTTTCCAGAAATGTGTTATTTAAGATGCATTGTTGAGAATTCATTAAAATTAGTTCTGTGTGAAGCAGAATAAATGTGAAATGTGGGAAATTATGTGTCTGTGGTTGCTAATAAAATCGAGTATTTTGTGTAGATTCCCTGTAAAGACCTTAGAGCCCCTTGGCTTTGATTTGTAAGTTTGTCTGGGCATTATCAGCCCATCTGAACCAGATCATTTCCTTGAGCTATGTCAGGCTCCTGGCCTTTCTGCCTCTTCTCTGACCTCTGCCCTGGATCAACGCAGCTTTAGTGGTAGTTTATCTTTCCCTGAACAAATGTCTTTCTCATCCCATCTCACCCAGGCCTGCAGTTCCGTCCCCACAGCAGATGTCACCACACCTGCCACTTTTGGGATTGTCACTTGTAAACCCATTTGTCTGGATATCATTTAGGGTGGGTAATAATGACTATAGCCATATGGCATAGCCCTGTATCAGCCCAGTATTATCTTTTTCTAATCCTTCAACTAATTTGTATTAAGGCTTTATGCTAGCATCATGGGAAGCATTTTTGTTTCTGTCATCCTAATTTATTTCTATTTGTAAGGCAAAACAAATCCTCATTTTATAGCTGAGGAAACTAAACTGCAGAAAGGTTAAATATTTTTTCCAGGTTTACATGATGAAAGAGCTGGGATTTGGACTCAGGTTGCCTGAATCCACACCCAATGGTCTTACCTCATTGTATCATGCTGCTTCTAGATCTATTGTTCCTCTCTCCCTTTTCCACTTCCTCACTCTACCATCACTTCAGGAAAGTAAAGGTGTCTTCCACGTACCTGGGAGAAATTTCAGCCGCCAAAGGACTAGGCTGCAGGGAGATGGGCAGATAGCCATTGCTCTTCTGAGTTCTTCATGAAACAAAGATGTGTAGAGATGGAGACAGAGTGACCCTCTTTTCTCTGATAGTCCCGAGAGACAGTCCCATCAGCATCCCAGCAGTCAGATATCTTCAAGTCATTTATACCGTCTGCATTATAACTGAAGACAGCTCTGCCCTTGGCTTGGGGTGAGGCAGACAGGACAAGGGAGGAGAGGAGGAACAGTCAACCCAGGTCTAAGGATATGCAAGTACAGAATGAAAAAGAGCCATGGATACCCCAGCTGGTGTGGCTCGGTGGTTGAGTGTCACCCATGCACCAAGAGTTCACCAGTTTGATTCCCAGTCAGGGCACATGCCCGGGTTGTTGGCCAAATCCCCAGTGGGGGGCATGCAGGAGGCAGCCAATCTATGTTCTCATCGGTGTTTCTATGTCTCTCCCTCTCCCTTCCTCTCTCTACAATCAATAAAGAACAACAACAACAAAAAAAAGATCTCTAAGTTGCTCTGTTGCTCTGCATTTATTCATTATTGAGTGCCTTCCTACTTCCTGGGCCAGGCTACATGCTGAGGAAAGGGATAAGAAAAGCATACCCCTGCCCTGGACAGTGTTGTGCAGAGGTAAGAGCATCAACCAATGTACCCCCATGTACCATAGGGTTGCAGTTTTGATTCCTGGTCAAGGGTGCGTACCTGGGTTGCAGGTTCAATCCCCAAAGTGGGGGCACATACAGGGGACAGCCAATCAATGTATCTCACATCGATGTTTCTCCCTCCCTTCCACTCTCTAAAAATCAATAGAAAATATATCCTCCAGGGAAGATGAACAAAAATGGAAAGAGAGAAAGGCATACTCCCTGCCTTCAAGGAACACACACCTAGCTTAGGAGATACCAAGCCAAATGAAGATGTTGGTAGCTTGTTAAAACAAATTGCTTAGTCCCATCCCCAGAATGTTTTTTGTTTTTTTTTTATCCTCACCCAAGGACATTTTTTTTCCCCCATTTTTGTACAGATAGAGTGGGAGGGAGAGAGAGGAAGAGAGAGAGAGGGAAACATCGATGTGAAAGGGACACATCGAGTGGCTGCCACCCGCACGACCCAACCAGGGCCGGGGACAAACTGCAACCGAGGTACGTGCCCTTAGCGGGAACCGAACCCGGGTCTCTCCGGACCGCAGGCAGACGCTCCAACCGCTGAGCCAAACCGGCCAGGGCCCCAGAATGTTTTTTTTCTTTATTGATTTAAGAGAGAGAGGAAGGGAGAGAAAGGGAGAAACATCAATGAGAGAGAACATTGATTGGCCGCCTCCTACATGCCCCACTGGGGATTTGGCCCACTACCTGGGCATGTGCCCTGTCTGGGAATCAAACCAGTGGCCTCTTGGTGCATGGGTCGACACTGAACCAGTGAGCCACACCAGCTGGGCCCCAGAATGTTTTATTCAGTCGCTCTGGAGCGGGGCCTGAGAATTTGCATCTGTAACTAGATCCCAGGTTTTGTTGCTACTACTGGTGTGGGGACCGCTCTTTGAGAACCACTGATCCAAACCAACTAAGAGATGTTCTATGATAAAGGTAAGTATGGACTGGATTGCTGAGGGCAATCCAGAGAAGGAAGAGAATAATTCTGCCTGGGAGAATTCTGAAGTGGCCTTGAAAGGATGGATAGGATTTTTCTTGGCTATAGTGAAGAATATAGACCCCAGGGTTCAGAACAGTTGGACTTTTGAGTAGTTGAGCTGGATGGAACCCAAGGGGTACAGGAAGGGTATGGAGGAGTCAAGAACTTATTCTGAAGGAAAGGAGTAAGAGTTCAAACTTTGGTACAGAGAGCCAACAAAGTATTTCAAGCAGTTAAGTGGTAGACTTGAGAGTTGTGTTTAGAGAAGTTTCTCAAGATGTATACATCATATGGTTCCCTCCAGGCCTGAACTGAAAACCCTTGGGTTGGAGACGAATCTTTAATAAGCACTCCAAGCACTTCTGACCCATGCAAAGTTTGAGGAGGGACTGGAGAAGAAAAAGAACTGAGGCTGGATCAGTTAGGGAGCAAGTGGAAATGGAGAGAAAAAAAGACTTAAAATTCACAGACTTTAGTTACTAATTTGATTCAGAGAGTGTTTGTAAGGAAAGTTCAGGCAATTATAAGATTACATGGGTTGGTTTCTATTTTCCAAGGGAGTAACAGCAAAAGAGACAGAAACAGATAAGAAGACTAGGCGAAGACAATGGAAGAAAAATGGACAGGGTAATGTATCACAGTGGAAGAACACTAGATTGGAAATAGGGAGACCTCGCCGTGTCACCAACTCTGACTTTGCTGCTGTTGAACTGTCATGTTTTAGAGGCCAGACTAGATGATCTGTGAGGTCCCTTCCAACTCTAAAATGTCATATTACAAATTAAAGTAAAAAATATATTAGTTGAATGTAGAAATATAAGTACATAATTAGGGTAATAAACCATTAGAATGGGGTTCTGAGCCTTCAGGTGTTGTGGTGAGAGAGTCAAAGAAAGACCACTAGAGAATTGAAGTCCAAATAAGAGCAGTTTATTAGCCCGCCAGCGTCTGATTCTGAACACCCCTGTGACAGAGTCTTTGGAGATCAGCCTCAATATGGTTTATTACATGCCTTTTATACCTTACAGCAAAAGTTTAATGATATTAAAAAAATAGGGTCGTCTTGATATAATGCCCAGGGCTACAACAATGCTGTACAGAATTAGTTTGCCTTGCAGATAACACCCAGGCACACCCAGGTATTTAAAGGTACCTTGGGTCACACTAAGCCCCGAGCTGCACAAACACAATGCAAAACTGATTCCTTGAGATTGTGGGGGTGGTCGAGTCTCTGACTCAAGACCTTCAGGCTCCGTGGACTCTGTCAGACATGTAGCCGGCTCCCAACAATTTCTTAGTTCAGGGAGTATTCTAATTTACTGAGGTTATTTTGATCTCTATTCTGTTGATTAAATTCTTTACAAAATAGGTTCACCTAGAAGGCACACTGTGACTTTCCCAATCATCAATTATGGAGCTATAAACAAGTCAGCACAATAATTTACCAATCATCAATAATTATGGGGTCATGAAGAGGTCAGCACACAGGGAAAAACTGGAGAACCTCAACAAGAGAATTGATGAAACCCTGATTTGTCCCACATTTTGCTCAAGACCAATGCTATAGATTTTTATTATAGTGTTCAGATAAGCAAAACCTGTAGGATGGTTTCTCCTTATTTTGAATTTGGAAGACACCTAAAGACCATCTAAAACCACTTCCTTCCCAGCCGGTGTGGCTCAGCGGTTGAGTGTCAATCCATGCACCAAGAGGTCACCAGTTCGATTCCTGGTAACAGCACATGCTCAGGTCGAAGGCCAAATCCCCAGTGGAAGGCATGCAGGAGGCGTCCAATCAATGTTCTCGCTTATTGATGTTTCTCTCCCTCTCTCTCCCTTCTTCTCTCTCTCTAAAATCAATAAAGAAAAATATAAAAATAAAACCGATATCAGTGAGTGATGGAAAATAATTCAATTTGAGAGCCAACTAGACCTGAGTTCAAAACTAAATATGAATCCCATCTATGCTACTGATCAGGCTCAACCTCAGGTAACATCCTCTCTGAATTTCAGTTTCCTCGTGTCTAAAAGAGAAGAAAACAGGCACGATGCAAAGTTGTGAGAATTAAATAGGCTGTCAACTTAACTAAGGTGCCCAGCACAGAGTAGGTGCTCAGTATGGTGACAGGGTAAACAGTACAGGCTCAGAAGGATGGTTTGAGTCTGTGTCCCAGCTCCACCACTAACTGGCGGTGGACTTTGAGCAAATTACTTAATTTTCTAAGACGTAGTTTCTTCAACTGTAAAATGGAGATAACAGTACCTATTCCTAGTGTTGTCATGAGGAACAAATGAGATAATATAGTTAAATAGATTAACTCGACCAAACACAGGGTAAGCAGCTGCTTATCACCATCATTGTCCTTCACTGCTTTTTCTAGTCTGTAATGTCTATAACATTACAACACTAAATGTTGGAGGGAAGTACTCTTGCGCGATTGATGTCCGTCTCTCCCTCCTTACGACTAACAGTTCACAGAGTGGTCACTTAAAAAAGTCCTATTTTGTTCCCTGACCATTCAAAGGCAAAAAGGTAAATTTCAAACTGTGTCCCCTCCTAGCGCCAGAGAAAGGAACTACAACCAACGGGCAGCGGAGCA